AGGAGGGGCCCATCTCTGCCCCACCACTTTTCTGAGGGTCGTTCCTCAGGGAGCAGGGGGCTTGCTAGGCCTGCTTCTGTGACTTCTAGGGATCAGAGGTTCAGGGGCTTCTGCCAGCTTGTCCCCAGCCACACACAAAGGGCTGGGCTGAGAACCCTAGGCTTGTGACATCAGGGCCTGCGCCCCTCCTGCCCGCCTCACAGCGTCCAGCCTTGAAACCAAGCAAGCACCCCCTGAGGGCCTTTCAGAGGCCAATGCCTTCCTGCATCCTGGGATTCAAGCAACAGTGGAAAGATTTTACACATGAGGAAACTGTCTGGCAGTTGCCAACTTGCCAATGTCACACAGCTAGGGCAGTCTCCAAAGGCCCAGGCACTTTCCACAACTCAGAACCTGCGTGGAGTGGCTGGCTGAGCTTAAGGTTCACGGATCTCCCCACCTTTTGTGGTTCTCTTATGGTCAAGAGTCTGTGGGTGAGGCCTGGAGCAGTCAGGCTGCCCCTGTAGCAGTCAGGCTGCCCCTGTAGTTTTACCATCAGAGCATTCACAAAGATGTCTGGGGTTAGTGGGTGCTGAAATCTAGCTAATTCACCAAGTCGTATGCCCTGGCAAAAGGGGGCTGCATCCATGGAAAGAGGAAGCACTTGTCTGCGTGTGTGCGTGCGTGTGTGTGTGTGCACGCATGCGTACGCAAAGGTATCTTCTACACAAGATTTGAGCCCACTGGGGTTGAGGGTAGCCTCTCTTCTAATTCTGCACAAAGTCACTGTATAGATTAGAGTGTGCTATTGGAGGGTGGTCATAAGTCTAGGATGGCAAATAGTTTTCATCCTCTGGGTCAACTCCACCCTTAGTGGCGATGCAGAGTGCTATGATGAGAAGGACTCTGCAGTCACGTCTGGGAAGGAGTTCTGCACTCAGTGATTTCTATCCCGAGTGGAGGATGGGGCAGTGGTGCATACAGGAGATTATTTGCCTTTTGCTATCACTGCTGTAAACCGACACCTTCTGTGTCAACACACATCCCAAAGGAACCCAATGCCCAGTCCTGGCCCAGAGCAGAGGCAAACCTCAGTGTGTACTTTGCTGTTCATTCCTGAGGCATGGAGTGCGGGTGGGTATAAGTGGGTTAGGGATTCTTTTGCATTGTAAATCACCACGAGATATTTTTTAGTGAAATAAGCAGCATCAATTTGCACAAGACTGTGAAGTCCCCTCTTCTTCCTCTGCTCATCTCTGCCTGCCTTAATTCAAGCCCAAATTTCCCCTACGAAGATCCCTCCCTGCTCTTCTTTCCAAAGTTTCTTCTGCTTCTCTGAGCTCAAAGCTCTTGGTTTGAGAACCAAGGTTTGAGAACACCTATCTGATAGGTTTGAGAACACCTATCAGACCCGTTGCCTGGGCAACTTCAGGGGCAGACACTCCCTACATGTGCCCTCCTCCTCCCAACCACCACTCCACATAAATTGAATTATTGTTATTGAAATTATTAGTACCACACTTCCCTCCCGCATGATGGCTTATTCACAGCTAGCAAAGCACCTTCCTGTTGCATCCTCATTTGGCCCTGTCAGTCACTATTTGAGAAAACTGAGGTCTACAGAGAAGGCAGAGACTTGCCCAAGGCTACTCAACCAGGTTTCTTTTCTCCAAATCATGTCTTCTCTCCATTGTCCAATTCTGGAGGCCACAGGGTGGACGGAGTCACCAGAAAGGAAAGGGAACAGGGTCCCAAGCCTCCTCTGGGAGTTCCCTCCTACTTGTAGTTCTGAAGACTGTGTATGGGGCCAGACCTGCCACACCAGGATACTGCCAGACCAGGACCAAAGAAGGGAGAGCCAGGATGTGGAGCAGATTAGGAGCAGGTGGCTTAGCCATCAGGCTTCCTGGGTAACTCTGGGCAAGTCCCTTTCTTTCTCTGGGCCATGGTGCCTCCTCCTCCATAAAGCGAAGGCTTGGGCTTGGACCTCTGACCTTTTAAATGCAAGGCTTCTTAATGTGTACATGATAAGGAGCGGGGAAGCACAGAGTTTGGGCCTGACCCAGTCTTCCGAGTGTGGTACCCAGGCCTCTGATACCCATCCGGTCACTCTCACCCATCATCCCCCATCCCACAGGAGGTGCTGTCTCAGGGAATCCTGAGTGGCTGACCTCAGGTCAATCAGCTGCTATCCAGGCAAACTGCCAGTCAGTTGCCAAAATTTATTGATCACCTACTGGGTACAGAGCTCACATGTTGAGCAGGTGTGCTGTGGGCAAGGGGAGGGAGAAAAATACAAAACCAAAGAAACCGTTCAAGCTTCAAAGGGCAGCATAACCTGGCCATCCCTCCATCCAGCCATCAACCTAGCAAACATTTTTGGGTCATCTACTATCTCTGCACCAGGCCCTGTGGAGGAACTTTGGGGCGGGGATGGGGGTGGGATGAAAGGGGCAGAGGGCATCAGTGTGATCACCAGTAGGACAAGCACCCTCACAGCATCAAATCACTCTGAAGGACAGGGAACCCTAGACCAGCTGTCTCTCTAAGCAGGTGTCAGAGTCCCATTGTCTCAGGCTGCACATGACAGAAGGGTTTTGTGTGACTAGCACATTAGTTCTCCCAGGCCCCATCGCTACCTGTTTATTGCCTTATACCTAGTGGTTACTGCCTGACCCCTAAAGCAATTTGAACTTGCAACCCATACTAGGGAAAAATGCCAGAGTTTCAACATAACAGGGCTACTACCCTCACCCAGAAGGCTAGTGGGGGCAGATACAGAGAGCTCTGGGCTGGAGCTGGGTGCCTCAAGGTCTCCTCTGGGCTCCCCAACTGCCTGCTTGTACAACTGGAAGATGTCTCCTCTCTGAACAGCAGTTTTCTCTAAAAAATCTAGGGAAAGTCTAGATCAGTGGTTCCAAAGCCTATTTCCCCTCCCCCTACCTTGGAATGTCAAAGATAGTAGTAGAGTTCCAGAGATGACCCCAAATATCGCCAAGAGTAAAATGGTTATCATATTCATTTCCAACAACTGTGTACCTTCTCTTTAAACAAATAGGTTTACCACTTTTTTAAAATATAAAGGGTACTATCTGGATATGTCTCCAAAGAATAAAAATATTAAGATATGATTGGTATATGTACTATTGTTTGTATTAATAATCACAAATCGTTTGATAAACAAAATCTTTGAAAACATGATCAAATAATCTGAGACAGAAAAAATCAAAGGGGTTCTTGGTTGGTGACATGGTGGGAAAGGGCAGCACTTGGTCATCATTGAAGTCCTTTCATTAAAACCCATAGATGTGCCTCGTGCAGGTAGTGGGAGAAATCCTCGTGGAGTGGAGCCGGGTGGCTGGAGAGCTGACCTTCATGGAATATCTTCTGATTACCAAGCTCAAACTGATAAGCTCCCACACATCCCAGAGGTAGGACGGTGACCGTCCCCATTTTACGAAAGAGAAAACAGGTTCTCTCTCAAAGGTTAGGCGCTATTCCGAGGTCACTCAGCTGGAAGGCGGCCGAGCTGGCACTTGAACCCTGGTGGAACGGCTTCAGAGCCAGGTTTGAGGTGGGAGAGGTGACTCGGGTCCCCTCCAGGCGCCTTGAGCAGGCACCCCATGAGTACCCCAAACTGAGAGGGTGAGGCCCTGGGGTTTCGGGGTGCGTCAGGCAGAGGCGGGGGCGGGGACTCTGGCTCCCCCCAGGCACTCTTGGACCAGCTGGGTCGTCCTGGGGGGTGGGTGACAGTCGTCTTTCCGAGCTCCCCCGGACCTATCTGGGGTGCTGGCGACCGGCGGAGGCACCGGGGTGAGCTGGAGCCGGGAATCCAGGCGGAGGAAAGGGGCGAGAAGCGAGGCGGGCCCAGAGCAGAAACTGGAGAAGCGAGAGGGGGAGGCGGAAAGGCGAGGGAAGGGGGCGGGGAGTCCTTCCTGGGGCAGGAACCCGGGCCCCCCTTGGCGGAGCCGGCCAGCAAGCGATTCTGCAGATGGAAGGAATTAAGTGGGAGGGGGAGGGTCCCACGGTGATATCGAGAGGAGGGAGGGAGAAGTGTGTGTGTGTGTCTGTCTGTCTGTGTGTCTGAGTCGGGAGAGGGACAGAGAGAGAGACACATCAGACTACACAGAAAGAGAAAAGATGAGCGAGAGACAGAGACAGAGTCAGAGACAGACCGATCCGCAGAGAAAGACAACGAGACGGACAGAGAGACAAGGGACACAGGAGATATTCGTCTAAGAGAGAGGAAAGAGTAACAGAAAGGAAGGAAAATAGCAAAGGGAGAAAGGAAGAAAATGAAATAACCGGCGACGATCTGGGAAGCACGAGAGAAGAGAGCCCACAGCTGAGCGAGACGAGATTGATCCGGCCGGGGCTGTGCCGAGCTCCCGCCGGCTCCGGGAGCTGGGTTGGCCGGGGGCGGGGGGGGACCGAGGTGGGGCCTGGGAGGGTCCGCCCATGGGCGGGCCAGCCAAGAGCTGCGCGTGTGGACGAGCCCGGTTTCCCCGCTCACCCCGCCCCCGTCACTCCATATTCAATGAGACGGCCAATGGAGGGCGAGGACGGTGCCAGGGGGGCGGGGCCTCGGCGGACCCCACCCCGGGAGCGGCCGCCGAAGGGGTCAGCACTGAGGCAGATAGCGGATCCCGGGGCGGGGCGGGCGGCGCGGAGGGGGCGGGCCCAAAAGTTTCCTGCCCAACTTTCGCTGCCTCCTTCCTCCGCCC